AAGAGTGGGGGATGCGTTCGGCTGGAAAAAGCCCTTTTGTTGTCTTTCGTGTGTGGCAAAACACCCTGTGCTGGGAGGCTGATGAAGTGGGCACTGGCAATTAGGACCTATGGGAGATGGCGTTTTGGCCTGGTGGCAGGAGTATCTGCCTGTGAAGTGTCCTGTGGAGTGGTGGTTTGACCGTGAGGAGTGACGGGCATCATCCGCCTGCCCCAGGAGGCATCAGGAGGGGAAGGAGCTCCAGAGCACTGTGCGGGACAGCCGCCTGGAGGGGAAAGCCCCTGGCAGGGAGCGGGAGATGCCTGCGCAGGCAGTGGCAGCAACGGGCATCTCCTGACACATATCGGCAAAGTGTCTTGGGTGAGATGAGGGGGCTCAGCATCATCAGCAAGTGCTCCGCAGGAGTAGGGAGAGGTCTGGCCTGGGAAGTGCAAAGCTGGGGCGATGCCTGGGGTGCCGTATGGCAGCAGGCACTCACCTAGCTGTGCAAAAGGCAGGTAGGGAGCATTTAGGTGGAAGAAAAGGAAAAAAGAGGGTTTGATGGCGGCGGTGGGAAAAGATAATGAAAAAATAACCCCCAGTGGTGCCCCTGTACTGGGAAGGAGAAGCACGAAAGTGTTGGGCTGATGGGGGGGGAAGGTGTGTGTCCTGAGGGGAGCTGGGCTCCTGCCAGTTTGTCCAGCCCTTGCATCTCTAGTGGAGGGGATGGATAAATTCCTCCTGCCACCAGACCTGTCCTTAAAAACTTCGGGTTCTAGAGAAAAGCTGAAAATAAGCCATTTTTTATGTATTTTTTCCAAATGAATAGTGATGGAAGTTTTGACTAAGGTGTAAAGTTATTATCACTGCAAGCAAGTTCTTCAAGTTACTGTAATAATTATCTTGCATAGTGATATTTTATTTCCAAATATGTATTAGGCCACTACAAGTCTTATGAACTGTAAGCCTAGACCTGCTTTTTGCCCTCTGAGACACTTTACTGTAGCTCTCCAGACAACGCTGGAAAGCTTGGATGTGTCCTTAAATGCTTTGTTGCCCTTAAAGATGGTGCTCCCGGTAAAATTAACAATGTGTAAATAGGGGCGTTGTGTTCATTTTACATGGCTTCTTTGTAGACCAGTGGCTCTTTTGATTTGCAGCCCCCTGAATATTCCCCAGGTAGGTGCAGCCCCTGCAGGCAGTGTCTTGAAATTCGCGAGCCTCAAACGGGGAGCCTCTTTAGTCCCTGCATCGCAGCCCTGGGTTTTTGCTTATGCACTGTTTCTGAGCTCTGCAGCTGCAGTCCTCCTCCCTGTTTACCAATCACCAGTATTGATGTTTTCTACTTCAAGCTTTCTGCTTTGCCTGCTGGGGTGATTAAGAAGCCCCTCAGGCTCCCCGGAGCAGGTACCATTCTGCTGCTGCAGGAGCTGCTGTACCCCAGGCCTAGACTGGTAGCTAGGAAGGACCACCCATACAAAATTACTGAAGCACCTTTGGATGCTGATTTGCAGCATTTAGACACGTAAATCCCTTTGGAAATCTAGCCTTAAAGGTTTAGCACCCTCTGCGAGGGGGATTTTGGCTTGGTACGATCTTGTTGTCCTTCATATTCTGGCCAAAGGGCATCTTCTTTGGTCATTTACCCTCCCAAAATAAGAGAGCGTGCTAACTGCTGGTTGGACATTGGGCTAAAAAAACCCAACACCAAATCAAATGAGACATGGAAAGCAATGGAAGAAACAGTGTCTTCTTCCAGCAAATCTGCTGCCTGAATATATTTAGAGTCAGATCTACTGACTCTAATGACTAGTCTAAGCCTTTACTGTCTTTATTCCCATTAGTCCTGGAGAGCTGAGACCTGCCAGCGAGAGCGGGCTCAATTCCCTTCCTCCCCCAGCATCGGCAGACGTGCTGGCTAAGCTGGAGGCAGGGCTCGGCTTGGTCCGCAGCACCGGTGCCTTGGGCTGATAGGAAAGAAGAGGCTTTGCTGGGGGGTGCCCCACTCCCCCGAGAGCACGGAGGGCTGGCAGGAGGCAGAAACGCCTTTTCTCCCTGCAAGCAGAGCAGCCTCGCCCAGGAAAGCCCTTGGATCTGCTGCCAGGGGAACCTTTCCAGAGCTTTTGTGCTCGCTGCCTGGCGGAGAGAAAAATAGCTGCAGGGCAAGCCTTGTTGGGGATTGAAAAACAGTTACGGTCCCAATTTCATCAAACACTTAAGCACAGACTTAGCCTGCCTCAGTAGCCACAAGCCTTGATGTGTTGCGCTGAGGCTGAGCCTCTGTCCCAGAGCCCAACGTGGCCACAGAGCCGCAGCTCGGGGCGATGCTCCCGCATCCCGCAGGCTCCCACTGGCGGGGCTGGAGAGGGGACACTCGGGGGGATGCCGGCAGGCGCCTGCCAATGAGCAGGGGGAGATGCCTCCAGCTCGTGGAGAAGGACTGGGGGCAGTGTGACCCCAGTGTGACGGTGTGGACGGGCAGCCGGCGGGGGATTGCAGCGCCCGTGGTCAGCACCTACAGCTGAGCACAGGTTGGAATTGGACACTGAGCCCTAAAAGCGGGCAGCTGCTGAGCTGGAGGAGAGCTGAGCTGCTGGTGCGAAGGGGAGTGCAAGGAGCTGCTGGAGCTGGTCCGCAAAAGAGCTTTGTTCAGAGAGGAATAAAGCGAGGGGCTGCTGGGTGGTGCTGTACGGCTTCTTTGGGCTGAGCTGGGATCCCCCCACAGTCCCTGCCGTGCCCGTGCAGGCAGGAGGAGTGGGGCATGGCTGGGGCAGTCAGGGGTCTGGAGGGTCACAGGATCATTTGGCAGAGAGAGAAAACCGCTGAGGGCCTGAGGAGAGAGATTTCCCCCTCTTCTCC